TGTAGAGGACTGAAAAACAGGAAGGTGTTTTCCATACTCTCTCCCCAGAGCTGGCTGTTACTGACATATTGATATATTTCCACCAGTCCTGTGTGTGCTTATAGCTTGATATGTATGCATTTTAAATATGTAAATACATATACACATGTATTTTTAAACTGAAACTAGGCTGTGACTGTGAGTTCAGTTTTGAGTTACAGGTTTCCCATGGCTTAAGTTGTGTTCTCTCCCAGGATGGAGTCTGGCTGGGACCTGCATGCTCAGTCTGGCTGGGACCTGCATGCTCAGTCTGGCTGGGACCTGCATGCTCACAGCCCAGGTTCACATGAGGTGTGGATCATGCACAGTCATCCCACAGGCTTGAGATAAGCATTTGACTTCCTTTTTAAAAAAAAAAAAAAGTTTGTTATGGACTTTTTCAAGTGTTCCCAGAAGTAGAGATAATAGAAAAATGGTCTCCCAACTACTTTGAGAGTTAGCAACATATGGCCAGTGTTGCTTCACCCACCCTTCCTCACCACCTCCTGGACTATTTTAAATCACATCCCAGACACCAGATGATTTCAACTATGAGTACTTGAGTGCAGATCTCTAAAAGATCGAGCTTCCCCACCCCCACCAAATACCACAGAGCCATGTGAGATCAGCATTTGGGTTGGCAGATCTCATCCTTGCCACATGCTTTCGTGCTGGTGAGTGGGGACACTTTCAGGCTAGACCTAGGGAAGCCCCAGGCCAGCACCAAGACAGAGATCTCAAGGCCTTTCCAGCTCTGCTGGTTCTTTAGAAGTCAAATCAACAGATTGGAGTATGTGAAGGAAGCTCATGTATTCTTCTGAACTAGCTTAGACAATAGCACACAGTTTGAAGGACAGCAGCCTTTTCTGCAGGTTAGTTCTTTCAATGATCTCGTTTACTGGGAGTTGAGAGATCTTGAGAATAGAAGCAAGAAAGTGTCATCAAGCAGTCCAGAGGGGTGTACAGTGTTTGAAGTCTCCTGTATTGGTATGATTCGAGATTTTCTTTCTGCAAGACCAAAATATCCATTCCTACATGTGGGTGGAGAGTTAAATTCTGAAGTATATATTTTTATCTTGTTAAAAAACACTTTTATGTTTCTTTAAAAAGCAAAAGAACCAGAATGTAGAAGTTCCAGTAAAGGAAAAGTTGCAGTCTGTTTGGGATACAGTTTGACAAATGTGCTCTCAGCTACCTGAGAGGTGGAGAGGCCATGTGTTTGCTTTGGGTACATTGATGACTAAACAATCGGTATCTCATCATTTCCTGCCTTAGTGATGAAACCACCTGGGCAGTGGGGCAGTAAATTGGCTGCAGGATTGGAAGAAGTCTAGGGACAGTGTGGGATGCCACCCTATAGCTGTCTAGAGACCTCGTGAAGGTCAGAAGGCTAGATGAGAACAAGCCCTGCACTGGTGGAGGACAGGGAAGGGGCTTTTCTGGCTGGGAGCGTGGTGAGGCCTTTGAGCCAGAAGGCACCTCTCAGATTGGTGGGGGTGGGAGGAACTGCTTTGCCTGTGCCATTGGTCTCACTCACCTGGAGGTCCCTTCCAACTCCATCCATGCGCTGACTGTGGGACCACTTGCAGAAGGAATATGTGGCAGGTTTTTTGTTTTTTTGTTTTGAGATGGAGTCTAGCTCTGTCACCCAGGCTGGAGTGCAGTGGCGTGATCTCGGCTCTCTGCAACCTCTGCCTCCCGGGTTCAAGCGATTCTCCTGCCTCAGCCAAATGAGTAGCTGAGTTTACAGGCATATGCCACCACACCTGGCTAATTTTGTATTTTCAGTAGAAACGGGTTTTCTCCATGTTGTTCAGGCTGGTCTCAAACTCCCCACCTCAGGTGATCCACCCATCTCAGCTTCCCAAAATGTTGGGATTACAGGTGTGAGCCACTGCACCCGGCCACATGACCCTTCTTGATAGCTATTGTTTGCTGAGTATTTCTCTATGACACTCTTTATGTGCATTTTGTCATTTAATTTTATTAAAAAAAAATTTTTTTTTTTTGAGACAGGGTCTTACCCTTTTACCCAGGCTGTAGTGTAGTGACATGATCTCGGCTTGCTGCAGCCTCCGCCTCCTGGGCTCAAGAAATCCTCCCACCTCAGCCCCCAAGTTGCTGGGACTGCAGGCATGCAGCACTATAACTGGCTAAGTTGTTGTATTTTTTGTAGAGATGGGGTTTCACTATATTGCCCAGTCCTGTCTTGAACTCCTGGGCTCAAGCATGAGCCACCACTCTCAGCCTCATTTAATTTTTAATTACTTTAAATTTTATCAACATAATATATCACATAAACTGTAAAAAGACAAGAAACTACTGTGGTTCCAACTCTGCCAGTTCTCCCCAGAGGTAGCAACTGCCTTTACATCTGAGCTTTCTTCCGGCATATACCTCTGATTCTAGGTAATAGGCGCGTGCCGCTCTTGCAACTTGGCATTTTACATTTATCTGTTGGCTTGCTCTGTAGCTCCCTTCCATCGCCATTATCTCTGCTTCTCCTCCCTCATTCTTCCAGTATTTTACTTTCTACATAAATCAGTAATGAATGTTTATGTTTTCTGCCTACACAAATGATATTCAGAGCTGAGCATAGTGGTGTACTGCAATTGCTTGTTAACTTTTTTCCTAGGAAAGAATTGCCTTTTGAACACTGTTTGCCCAGTTTTCTGTGTATCTATTCCTATTCTTCCTTTATTTTCCAGTTGTCTCTCAGTACAGTTATCTTCAGGCGTAGTGCGAGTGGGCTGTCTGTCAGTTTCAGTTCAAACCTGTGGTCTCAAGTGATCCACCCACTTTGGCCTCCCAAAGGAGGTGGGCGGTGACCCTCTTGGACCTCCCTTCTGGAACCTTCTAGGCAGTGGCCGCAGGCATGGTGTGACAGCCCTCAGCGTGCTTGTCTGTTGTTTGTCTGTCCAGACTAGGAGTGTTGCCCTCCTTTGTTGGGTCCCTTGTTTCCTATATCCCGTGTCTCATCCTTTGTGATTTATTCCCTCATTCTGCTAGTTTCCTGAGAAGGGACTCCTGGGAATTAACTTTCTGGAGACCATGCCAGTTTGGGTGCATCTAGGCCCCCTGGTGGGACATGCTAACTGGGGGATTTAAAATGACGTTCCACTGTGCTGCCCTTGTGCTGGCCTTGTCTTTCTCCTGAGGTGCTGGCTCTGAGCCTCACAGTGACTTGCCTTGATCCCCAAACTCAAGTCCTGCTCTACTCGGGAAGTTCCCTTGAGTCATTTCAGGGGAATCTCACTCCCTACACTTTCTCTGCTTGAGTGTTTAATGTTCACTCTTTGGGCCTCTAATTTTATCTTTTATCTCCTGTTTTCTATCTCTTTTTCTTTTAGCTCTGCTCTCTAAGTGATTTCCACAATTTTGTCTTTGACCTTTCACTGCTAACATGCTTTTATTTCCAAGAACTCCTTTTTTTCCTTTTCCATAATCTGACTTTTCCCTTTTTATAGCACCGGTTCCTGTTAAATGGATACAATGTAGTATAATATTTATATGTATTATAATAAATTCTGTTTTTTTGGTAAATTTTCACTTTATTGCCCAGGCTGGAATGCAGTGATGTGTTCATGGCTCACTGTGGCCTCGAGCTCCTGGGCTCAAGTGATCCTCCCACCTCAGCCTCCCAAGTAGCTGGGACTATAGGCATGCACCACCACTCCTGGCAAGTATTTTTATTTTTTGTAGAGATGGGATCTTGTGATGTTGCCCACGCTGGTCTCAAACTCCTGACCTCAGCCGGATGTGGTGGCTCACACCCGTAATCCCAGCACTTTGGGAGGCCAAGGCGGGCAGATCACAAGGCCAAGAGTTCGAGACCAGCCTGGTCAATATGGTGAAACCCCGTCTCTACTAAAAATACAAAAATTAGCTGGGCATGGTAACACGCGCCTATAGTCCCAGCTACTTGGGAGGCTGAGGCAGAAGAATCACTTGAACCTGGGAGGTGGAGGTTGCAGTGAGCCAAGATCATGCCACTGTACTCCAGCCTGGGCAACAGAGCAGGACTCCGTCTCAAAAAAAAAAAAAGCAACAAAATCAAACTCCTGACCTCAAGTGATCCTCTCGTCTCAGCCTCTGAAAGTACTGAGATTACAGGTGTGAACCACTGCACCTGGCCTAATAAATTCTACATTTCCTTCTTGCTGAATTTCTGTTACCTTAAATTACTCTTTTCTTTTGGGGTCTTTATTGGCCATGTTAATGGCATTTGGCTGCCCTTGGCTGGTTGCTCACTCTGAGAGGGGCCCTCCAAAGCCTAGGAGTCTCTTCCAGCACGTGAAGCTTGTTGACTGGGAACTTCATTGAAGGCTCATCTGGCTGCAGATTCTGAGTCCTTCCTCCAGAACAATGGTCCCCAACATTTTTGGCACCAAGGACCGGTTTCACAGAAGACAATTTTTCTACAGACTGGCAGATGAGGATGGTTTTAGGATGAAATTGTTCCACCTCAGATCATCAGGCATTAGACTCTCATAAGAAGTGTGCGACCTGGATCCCTCACATGCACAGTTCATAGTGGGGTTTGTGCTCCTATGAGAATCCGATGCCACCGCTGATCTGACAGGAGGCGGACCTCAGACGGTAATGCTTGCTCACCTACTGCTGTGAGGCCTGGTTTCTAACAGTCCACAGACCTGTACTGGTCTGTGGCCCAGGGATTGGAGACCCTGCCCTAGAGCATGGTCTTCCAGACACTGGGCTATGGGTGAAGGCCTGGCTGCCAGCCTGCTGCTCACTGGGATGGAGGAGGCTGATGGGCCAGTGGGTCTTGGCAGTTAGTGTGCATCAATCTAGTCACTCAGACCAGAGCACAGATGACCACGCAGTCCACCTCTCTCAGTGTCCTACCTGTGCCTTTTCAACTGGGTGGTTGACCCCCTCATCCAGTGACTATCTGTTTCATGCTTTTCCAAAGAGTATACCTCCTGTGGTCA